CAGACAACATGCTGACAACACTCTGACAACAAACTGACAACATTCGACAACACTCAGACAACAAACTGACAACACTCTGACAACAAACTGAAAACAAACTGACAACACTCTGACAACAAACTGACAACACTCAGACAACACTCAGACAACACTCAGACAACACTCAGACAACACTCTGACAACACTCTGACAACAAACTGACAACACTCTGACAACAAACTGACAACACTCAGACAACACTCAGACAACACTCTGACAACACTCTGACAACACTCTGACAACAAACTGACAACACTCTGACAACAAACTGACAATACTCTGACAACACTCTGACAACAAACTGACAACACTCAGACAACACTCTGACAACAAACTGACAACACTCTGACAACACTCTGACAACAAACTGACAACACTCGACAACACTCTGACAACAAACTGACAACACTCAGACAACACTCTGACAACAAACTGACAACACTCAGACAACACTCTGACAACAAACTGACAACACTCAGACAACACTCTGACAACAAACTGACAACACTCTGACAACACTCTGACAACAAACTGACAACACTCAACAACACTCTGACAACAAACTGACAACACTCAGACAACACTCTGACAACAAACTGACAACACTCAGACAACACTCTGACAACAAACTGACAACACTCTGACAACACTCTGACAACAAACTGACAACACTCGACAACACTCTGACAACAAACTGACAACACTCAGACAACACTCTGACAACAAACTGACAACACTCTGACAACGCTCTGACAACGCTCTGACAACAAACTGACAACACTCTTGACAACACTGACAACAAACTGACAACACTCTGACAACAAACTGACAACACTCAGACAACACTCTGACAACACTCTGACAACAAACTGACAACACACTGACAACACTGACAGACAACACACTGACAACACTCAAACAACAGACTGACAGCACACTGACAACACTCTGACAGCACACTGACAACACTCTGACAAAACCCTGACAACACTCATACAACACTCAGACAACAAACTGACAACACTCAGACAATACACTGACAGACAACACACTGACAACACTCAAACAACAGACTGACAACACACTGACAGCACACTGACAACAAACTGACAACACTCAGACAACACTCTGACAACAAACTGACAACACTCTGACAACACTCTGACAACAAACTGACAACACTCGACAACACTCTGACAACAAACTGACAACACTCAGACAACACTCTGACAACAAACTGACAACACTCAGACAACACTCTGACAACAAACTGACAACACTCAGACAACACTCTGACAACAAACTGACAACACTCTGACAACAAACTGACAACACTCAACAACACTCTGACAACAAACTGACAACACTCAGACAACACTCTGACAACAAACTGACAACACTCTGACAACACTCTGACAACAAACTGACAACACTCGACAACACTCTGACAACAAACTGACAACACTCAGACAACAAACTGACAACACTCTGACAACGCTCTGACAACGCTCTGACAACAAACTGACAACACTCTTGACAACACTCTTGACAACAAACTGACAACACTCTGACAACAAACTGACAACACTCAGACAACACTCTGACAACACTCTGACAACAAACTGACAACACACTGACAACACTGACAGACAACACACTGACAACACTCAAACAACAGACTGACAGCACACTGACAACACTCTGACAGCACACTGACAACACTCTGACAAAACCCTGACAACACTCATACAACACTCAGACAACAAACTGACAACACTCAGACAATACACTGACAGACAACACACTGACAACACTCAAACAACAGACTGACAACACTCTGACAGCACACTGACAACACACTGACAACAAACTGACAACACTCAGACAACACTCTGACAACAAACTGACAACACTCTGACAACACTCTGACAACAAACTGACAACACTCAACAACACTCTGACAACAAACTGACAACACTCAGACAACACTCTGACAACAAACTGACAACACTCAGACAACACTCTGACAACAAACTGACAACACTCTGACAACACTCTGACAACAAACTGACAACACTCGACAACACTCTGACAACAAACTGACAACACTCAGACAACACTCTGACAACAAACTGACAACACTCTGACAACGCTCTGACAACGCTCTGACAACAAACTGACAACACTCTTGACAACACTGACAACAAACTGACAACAAACTGACAACACTCAGACAACACTCTGACAACAAACTGACAACACACTGACAACACTGACAGACAACACACTGACAACACTCAAACAACAGACTGACAGCACACTGACAACACTCTGACAGCACACTGACAACACTCTGACAAAACCCTGACAACACTCATACAACACTCAGACAACAAACTGACAACACTCAGACAATACACTGACAGACAACACACTGACAACACTCAAACAACAGACTGACAACACACTGACAGCACACTGACAACACACTGACAGCACACTGACAACACTCTGACAGCACACTGACAGCACACTGACAACACTCAGACAATACACTGACAGACAACACACTGACAACACTCAAACAACAGACTGACAACACACTGACAGCACACTGACAGCACACTGACAACAAACTGACAACACTCAGACAATACACTGACAGACAACACACTGACAACACTCAAACAACAGACTGACAACACACTGACAGCACACTGACAGCACACTGACAACACTCTGACAGCACACTGACAACACTCTGACAACACACTGACAACACTCATACAACACTCTGACAACACTCAGACAACACTCAGACAACACTCATACAACACTCTGACAACACTCTGACAACACTCAGACAACACTCAGACAACACACTGACAACACTCATACAACACTCTGACAACACTCAGACAACACACTGACAATACTCTAACAACAAACTGACAACACTCAGACAACACTCAGACAACACACTGACAACACTCATACAACACTCTGACAACACTCAGACAACACACTGACAATACTCTGACAACAAACTGACAACACTCTGACAACACACCGACAACACTCTGACAACACTCTGACAACAAACTGACAGACAGGACAGACCAGATTACTTTTCATATGTGGCAATTTTTTAAAGAAATGTAAACGATAAATACCGTTTTGTGTCTGTTTTATGTGTCTGACAGATCACTGTAGAGCCTCAGTTTAAAGAGAAAAAACGGATGGCAGATTACGATTGGTCAGATCACCTGTCAATCAAACTCCCTGCGAAGGGTCAATTGTGATTAAAGATTAATTCCGAAGACATTGGCCCTCATTTATCAAAAGCGCGTACACCAAATTTCCAGCTTACACCTGGCATACACCTAAAACCACGGTGACTTTGAGATTTATCAATATAGACGTTGGCATACAGCACACTCAAATCCTACAGCAGCTCAGGAGGGGGTGTACGCATGTTTTGAGTTAGTGTGGAAATGTGCAAAAAAACAATTCCTAACACCACAAAACCCACTGACAAACTAAGAGATATGATAGATTCTGTAAAAAAACAGACTTGAGTGTATAGGAGCGTGGGGGAGGCGGAGACTTGAGTATATAGGGGCGTGGGGGAGGCGGAGACTTGAGTATATAGGGGCGTGGGGGAGGCGGAGACTTGAGTATATAGGGGCGTGGGGGAGGCGGAGACTTGAGTGTATAGGGGCGTGGGGGAGGCGGAGACTTGAGTATATAGGAGCGTGGGGGAGGCGGAGACTTGAATATTTGGGGGCGTGTTATTCTAATGACGATCGTTTCAGCCGCAGGATTTATCAAGGGCAGGCATTGCGTACACCTGACTCCCAGTAACATGTGAAGAGTTCAGATGCAAAAGCCTCTAAGTGCCATTTGAAATTTTCTTCTAAAATGACCATTTTTATCAAGCTTGTATATTTAAGTTCAGTAATTTCAATTAAATGACAATTAATAGGTAATTATCATTGCCATTTAAGTGAAATTACTGAACTTAAATATACAAGCTTGATAAAAATGGTCATTTTAAAAGACAATTTCAAATGGCACTTAGAGGCTTTTGCATCTGAACTCTTCATGTATTGTTTGATGTGAACTGTGTGTTCTGCCAGTTCTGCTCCTGGATCTCGTCCCCCCGCTGGAGCCGGGCCGCCGCTGAGGTCGTGGATCTGCTGCTGGAGTGTGTGGGAAACGTCCAGCTGTGCAGCAGAACCACGGCTCTGCTCCGGGACGCTCCCGAGTGGCCCAGCATCAGCCACAGGACATGTGAGTCTTCATCATCGGCGAACCGTTCAACCACAGCTGTTTCAAACAACAGTCACACTTTCATCATAGAAATTCTGTTTGTCTTTCATGCTTTCCTTCGTTTTGTAAATAGAAGACAATTTCAGTTAGGAATTATGATATTCAGTTGTGTTTGTTGCTTTTGAGACTTTCAAACACAAATGAACAGTCTGTGACAGTGTGATGATGATGTGTGAGTGCATCTGTGTGTTTGCAGCGTCCCCTCGGCCCTTGATGCACCTGTGCCGGCTGAGGGTCCGAGAGCAGCTGGGGACACGGAGACTGAGGTCCATCGACTCGCTGCCACTGCCGGGGCCCGTGCTGCGGTACCTGAGTTCTAGGGCCGGCTCCAGAGCTCCAGAACCGGCTCCAACACAACACAGAAACAAATAATTTATTCTGAAACATCATTTATGCTGGACATGTAAACACGGGTGCTGTGAGATTACCTCTTGTGAATTGAGTGTTTGGTCTTCAAGTTGCTATTTATACATTTTAATTTATGATCCTGAATGTTTGTATGTGTTTGATACACAATTTTATGTATTTTGACGATATAAAAACACAGAGTGTGACACTGGCGAGTGCAGAATAAAAGGCTCTCCTTATGTCATGTGTGGTTTGAGTGTGTCAGTAATGAGCAGACAGTGTCACGCCATCGATTACCAGTTTTAATGAGATAATTCAGCACAAGATTTGGATTATGACAAGGCTTAATTAGTGTGACAGAACAACATTCAACTAAAAGATAATAATAAATACCAATCTATCTCTACATCACAGTGAAATCATGCTGTTTCAGGGAAGTGGATCTGGAACAGTTATATGAAAACTCATTCTACAGAGTCACCTGATGATGCGTGTCGACTAAAGCAATGCTGTGATCATATCCTGATGTCCTCGCATTCCAACTGCACAAAAGATAACCAATAACCGCATATAACCACCGCGCGTGTGTATTATTCCTGCTACATCTGTACTTTAAGTGCTCAAAGGCGCGTGATCATAACATTGCTCGTGCATGTGCAGCACGTGTCAGGAATGGGTTAAACAGAAGAGGTGAAGAAGGTTAGTAGTCCAGTAGTGCTGTGGTCCTCCAGCTCTAGATGAAGCCGAACACGCTGAAGATGGAGGAGGAGATCGCGGGCTTCGTGGGAATCGGCTTGATCACCACATGCGCGTTACCGCGGAGTCCGTCGATGAAGCCGCGCGCCTCCGCTGTTATGTTCCTGAGAGGCGCGTCCGCGTGCAGCTGACACTGAAGAGGGCAGCACGCGCACACGCACGCGCACGGCGCGCTTCTCCTCGGCAGCTCCGCGTGCGGGTGATTATTAATATTATTATCGCGAATCATCTTCCTTTTCTCTGCGTGAGATTTGACGCTCGCAGGGCCGCTCGCGCTGTTCCTCAGCAGGTGCTGGAGACGCGCGCGGGTGCCCGGGGTGCGCGGTTCCTGCCAGAAGGACGCCGGGAGCTGGCGCGCGCGCATCGGCACGTGACCCGCGGGGTTCGGGCTCGGGTCCGGCGCGTTCGGCCGGGCGCGCGCGCGCTGGTCCGCGGGCCTGTGCGTGAAGCGCTTGAGCTGCTTCTGCAGGTATTTGCGGTGGTCCACGGACCGTCTGCAGGGCGCGGATCGGTCCAGCGCCGCCTTGATGTCGCTCGACGCCAGGTTCACGAAGTTCAGGAGCGTCTTCACCTCGCTGTCAGCGTTGGCCATCGCACGCGTTCACCCGGAGCGTTCAAACCTCCGCGCTCAGGGCCGCGCATCTGCTGTCCCGTTCCCGGGTAGTGCGCACAGAAGCTCGCGAAGGGACGCTCTCTGTAATAACGCTCACTGAAGCTCAATGCCTATAGACTCGGTGTATCACTGCTCTGAGCCAATCACAGCCCGCAGTCTCCTCACAATGAGCTCGAGAGCCCGGTGTCGGATTCTTTGCCGCCACAAATAGTTGTCATGGAAATCCCTCAGGAAAATAGCGCGCGGACGCGATGTTTCTCCGTAGAAACGGTCACCGGTTCCCCTCGGGCACAATGTGTTTGTAAAGGGCCGGTGAAGCGCCACGCTCCTGTTCCCCATCCCGATCCCAGTCTGATCCCGCATAACCATGGGAAGCGGCTCGAGCGCTCAGGAATCTTGTCTCTCTGTTTGCCCCCTCAATCCACACACACAAAAGCTGAATTACTCATTCAAACCCGCGGGACAAAGCCGGGGAGCCGGAGAGCACTCTCGCGTTTGTAGTCAAACATTCGGAGACTTAAATCGAGTCGTCATGAAAGAGAGAGAGAGAGAGTGGGACAAAGCCCATAGAATGGCCATCAGCAAACATTTCCCTGTGTCATATCAGCGCGTCTCCATGGCAGCCGCTGGCCCGCGGACAATAGCACGAGCTTACACACTCGAGGACTGTCACCCTGCCAACCGAGACCGGGACACTTTCCTGACTTTAAGATCACTTATTTACAAAAAAAAATAAAAAAATAAAAAAATAAAAGATATAGCATCTTTAGTAAAAAGAAAAAAAAACATCCTAGCTAGAAAGGTGCGCAATGGATTTAGGAAACAGCCTCAAGATGTGAAAAAGCTTCTTAGAAACGGTAACACTCGTTTCTAAAACAAAATAAAGATTATTAAACGGATAATTCCGGTCCTTGATTCTGATTGTGGAGTCATTCACAACGGCTTCGAACGCGGCTCAACCAAACACACACCTGCGACCGCATTACAGTAGTGTTACACACACACAATCATCGGGATTCAGCAGATAAGACTAACTGAACTGGACAATATATACTGAAAAAGGCAGAATCCCTCATGTCTGTAGTTCTCACCCCTTGCATGTCGAATGTAAGATGCTGCTTCAGTCAGACACCAGACAAAACAAACATTTAAATCCCCTCTGCGATCTATCTGCTTAAAGGAGGAGTTCATTTTAAAATAAACTTTTGCTGATAATTTACTCACCCCCGTGTCATCCAAGATGTCCATGTCTTTCTTTCTTCAGTCGAAAAGAAATTAAGGTTTTTGATGAAAACATTCCAGGATTTTCTCCATATAATGGACTTCAATGGGAACCAAACGGTTCAAGGTCCAAAAGACAGTTTCAGTGCAAACTGTTCAAAGGGCTTTAAACGACACCAGACGATGAATAAGGGTCTTATCAAGCGAAACGATCGTTCATTTAATACATAAATAACAAAGTTTAAGTTTTATAAGCTCAAATGCTCACTTTGCTCTGTTCTGTGATGCGTGTTCGTGACTCTCCTGTACGAACTCGTTCATTAAAATAAACTAATCTTTTTTTGTGTTGTTTGGTTCATTCAACGAACGAAATGAAGGAATTGACTTGAAAAGATTCGTTCAATTTGATGAACAAGTTGGAACAGGAGAGTCACGACTGCGCATCACAGAACAGAGCAAGGCGAGCAGTTGAGCTTATAAAACTTGCATCTGCTTTCCTGTCCAGATTTACTCTCCAAATTAAAAAGAAAAATGTAGGATCATCCATGTCCGTTATTGCTAAAAAACGTCTCGCTCAGCTGATCTTTCCACAGTTCTGGTAAATCTGCCGTATCATTACAGTCTCGGCCTTCTCAGGGTCAAAGATCTCCTTTTCTAGCCACTCTAATGTCTTTTTTAAAACCAAAGATGAATGGGTCCCTTTTATATGAACTTGTAGAGGGATGATGGAGAGATTGATGGAGGGATGATGGACGGATGGAGGGATGATGGAGAGATGAATGAGAGATGAAGGAGGGATTATTCTTAGTTCCCGCCAGTTTAAATCTGTTTCCTAAAACGTGTTCCTCTGTTGAAGAAGCTTCTGTCCGAGTCCTCAGGGTTAGTGCAGAAACCGTTCTAATGAAAGAAAGAAAACAGGAAAAGCGCGCACACACACACACCCCCCCTTCTGTGGCCAGACAAACACAGGAGTCGACAGCAGAAGAAGAGCTTTACATTTAATGAGAACACACACTGCAGAACTGGAACACGTGCAGCATTCGGAGTTCAACACACTGCACACAAATTAATCATCTTTCAGATAATAAGAGAACTGAGCGGAGACACACACTCCTGTACAGCCCTATGAGGACAGGAGAAACACAACAGTCCTGATACACACAGAGGACCGGTCAGGCGGAGTGTGTGTGTGTGAGAGGAGAGGGTCTGAAGCTGGAGCGATCCAGGAGACCGGCATCAGTCAGAGAATAGTGAACCGTGGCCCATTCCCGACGCTCCCGTCTCACCGACAGCAGCTCTACTGCTTCCCTCGGGAGCGCCGACTCCTCCTGATAGAGGAAACACACACAACACACACTTACTGCGGTTACAATCACTCAAACACACTTACAATCACTCAAACACACACTTACTGGGGTTACAATTACTCAAACACATACTTACTATGGTGACTGGAGTGACTGCTAGGGTACGAGTACGGTAACGCCGCAGGAGATTACACACGAGTACGGTAACGCCGCAGAAAGAAAGATTTTACATAGATTACACACGAGTACGGTAACTCCGCAGGAGATTACACACGAGTACGGTAACTCCGCAGGAAATTACACACGAGTACGGTAACTCGTGGAAATTACACACGAGTACGGTTACACACGAGTACGGTAACAGAAAGAAAGATTTTACATAGATTACACACGAGTACGGTAACGCCGCAGGAGATTACACACGAGTACGGTAACGCCGCAGGAGATTACACACGAGTACGGTAACGCCGCAGAAAGAAAGATTTTACATAGATTACACACGAGTACGGTAACGCCGCAGGAGATTACACACGAGTACGGTAACGCCGCAGGAGATTACACACGAGTACGGTAACGCCGCAGGAGATTACACACGAGTACGGTAACGCCGCAGGAGATTACACACGAGTACGGTAACTCCGCAGGAAATTACACACGAGCACGGTAACGCCGCAGGAGATTACACACGAGTACGGTAACGCCGCAGGAGATTACACACGAGTACGGTAACGCCGCAGGAGATTACACACGAGTACGGTAACGCCGCAGAAAGAAAGATTTTACATAGATTACACACGAGTACGGTAACTCCGCAGGAAATAACACACGAGTACGGTAACGCCGCAGGAGATTACACACGAGTACGGTAACGCCGCAGAAAGAAAGATTTTACATAGATTACACACGAGTACGGTAACTCCGCAGGAAATTACACACGAGCACGGTAACGCCGCAGGAGATTACACACGAGTACGGTAACGCCGCAGGAGATTACACACGAGTACGGTAACGCCGCAGGAGATTACACACGAGTACGGTAACGCCGCAGGAGATTACACACGAGTACGGTAACGCCGCAGGAGATTACACACGAGTACGGTAACGCCGCAGGAAATTACACACGAGCACGGTAACGCCGCAGGAGATTACACACGAGTACGGTAACGCCGCAGGAGATTACACACGAGTACGGTAACGCCGCAGGAGATTACACACGAGTACGGTAACGCCGCAGAAAGAAAGATTTTACATAGATTACACACGAGTACGGTAACTCCGCAGGAAATTACACACGAGTACGGTAACGCCGCAGGAGATTACACACGAGTACGGTAACTCCGCAGGAAATTACACAAGAGCACGGTAACGCCGCAGGAGATTACACACGAGTACGGTAACGCCGCAGGAGATTACACACGAGTACGGTAACGCCGCAGGAGATTACACACGAGTACGGTAACGCCGCAGAAAGAAAGATTTTACATAGATTACACACGAGTACGGTAACGCCGCAGGAGATTACACACGAGTACGGTAACGCCGCAGGAAATTACACACGAGCACGGTAACGCCGCAGGAGATTACACACGAGTACGGTAACGCCGCAGGAGATTACACACGAGTACGGTAACGCCGCAGGAGATTACACACGAGTACGGTAACGCCGCAGGAGATTACACACGAGTACGGTAACGCCGCAGGAGATTACACACGAGTACGGTAACGCCGCAGGAGATTACACACGAGTACGGTAACGCCGCAGGAGATTACACACGAGCACGGTAACGCCGCAGGAGATTACAAGTGTGTAAGTGTGTTGATACGAATTGACGTGTCATACATACGCCATTTCATGAGATCAGTCTGGGCCACCAGAAGGGTGTAGTCTCGTGTGTGTGTGTGCGTTCTGACCTGCTGTAAGAGCAGGGACTGGTCGTGGCCGCTGCTCATGTGTGTGTCCACCAGAAGCGTGTAGTCGGCCATGAGGGCGTCCAGCAGGAGCAGGCGCAGCGGCAGAAGGTGGAGCACAGCCGAGGCCATCGCACTCATCAGCAGCGGCGGACACGGGCGCAGGTACCACACCTCAGCACACTCCTGAAGACCACAGCAGTGTGTTCAGCACTCACACACCAACACACACACACCTGTGGTGCACTAGCACATGCACTGGCCAGAGCGGCAACATATATCAGACCTGTGTGTGCTGCTCTCGGGCCCACAGCGGGGTCAGGGCGTGTGTGTGTGTGTGTGTGTGTGTGAGACCTGTGTGTGCTGCTCTCGGGCCCACAGCGGGGTCAGGGCGTGTGTGTGTGTGTGTGTGTGAGACCTGTGTGTGCTGCTCTCGGGCCCACAGCGGGGTCAGGGCGTGTGTGTGTGTGTGTGTGTGTGTGTGTGTGAGACCTGTGTGTGCTGCTCTCGGGCCCACAGCGGGGTCAGGGGGTGTGTGTGTGTGTGTGTGTGTGTGTGTGTGTGAGACCTGTGTGTGCTGCTCTCGGGCCCACAGCGGGGTCAGGGCGTGTGTGTGTGTGTGTGTGTGTGAGACCTGTGTGTGCTGCTCTCGGGCCCACAGCGGGGTCAGGGCGTGTGTGTGTGTGTGTGTGTGTGTGAGACCTGTGTGTGCTGCTCTCGGGCCCACAGCGGGGTCAGGGCGTGGGCGGGCAGCTTCAGGTGGAGGTGGAGCAGCTCGGGGAGACGGCTGAGCCGGTCCGGGAGGAACCCGCCGGTCTCGGTGTAGAACAGCATGAGGTCCGCCACCTGACGAACAACAACAGTCCTGAGCTTCAGACACCGGCTCTCGTTTATCAACTGTGCGGGATCCGCTCTGAGTGTACGTGTGCAGAAAACCAAACATGCCGTACGCAAAAAGTGTGTGTTTAGAAATCACAGCTCATGCGTGAGAAATGCGTACGCCTCTCAGGGCCTGTTCTGTGCGACGGTCATATGAGACCCCA